GTTATTGTTGTGATAAAAAGTTAACACAAACAATATGGTGGCTAAACGAATATTACACGTAAATATTTTTTTTTATTTGTTTGTTCCCCGACAAAATATATCGTCTTCCTCGAAGGGGGGGGGGGGAGGTAAGCTTCCCCCACTGTGTCCGACAGGCGCACGTATGTTGTTCCCTATTATAATGCTATTTATATTATAGAGATCAAGAGTAGTAGAGATTTGTAGTTATGCCACAAACGCCCGTGTTTACGACGTACTTTTACGGCGTCATTTTGTGGTACCTTAGCAACAATATCCAAGGGGCGGGGCTTACAAAGGTCCATTGCCGCCAAATCTTCAAAATGCATCAGCCGAATGTAGTACAATTGTTTATCAGTGTGATAAATCTGCTCAATAAACAATTTTAATTACTTGTGCAAATATAATATGTGGGTAACCCACATCTTTATATACGACTTTTCATGGATCTCGGCCTGCTATGTAAGCCCTCTTTAGGCTAGACGCGCCTAGACGGTTGGAAGCGACGATCGAAGAAAAACGGTTAAGCAAGCCAAGGGCTTCTTCCATTCCTCAGTATTAAACTCCTTCCATTGATGGGCACTGTCTAAAACTTTCTTCCAGGTTATCTCTGAAAAGATTGTAACCTTTTCGTCTGCAGTTGGCTCAACATGAATTACACAGGAGCCAGTGAGCTTCCATGACGGCCTAGGCTCGGACATGACACGTTGTTGTTTGTTGTTATTTCGCGACGTCATCAACCAGTACAATGAATTCATTATCCACCATCAACTAAACTGCCTTAAAGGGAAAAAAAATTGGTTCGTGTGGGAATCGAACACACAACCTCCATGTTTGCTATTCATTATCCACCATCAACTAAACTGCCTTAAAAAAAATCTGGCTCGTGTGGGAATCGAACCCACGATCTTAAAAAAAATAAAAAAATAAAAATAAACAAATTAAAAAAAAAAACTTGCCCCGTGTGGGAATCGAACCCACGATCGCTGAGTTTACTACCCCTGATCCAACATGACTAAACGGAGGGAGGTAAACCACGGCCCCTAAGCCATAAATGCGATAAACCTAGTACCACACCAAGTACCAGTTAGTCAACTCTGATCCTGCTATAAAAAAATTCTTTGTATATATACACTGCAGGTTAATATTACGCATGGTCATGGTGTCATGTAGGCTATGCTATCTAATGTTGAAATCAGCTTCCAAAACCAAAACATTTTGAATAAAGCAAGAAGCAAAGAGTATGCAATGTAACCATCTAATTTATTTTCAAATCCTCATTCTTGAAAGTGAAATTCTATATTTTGGAAATTTTGCATTAAATCTGTCAACCACGCTGTCATGGTCGAGGTTGCTTCACCTATCACGATATATTCCAACCACCATGAGGCTATCTAAATGAGCATTTGTCATAACAGAATGCAAATTATTTTTAATTAGTCTCATTGAAATATTATTATTGTTATTGTTGTGATAAAAAGTTAACACAAACAATATGGTGGCTATATGGCGGCTAAACGAATATTACATCGTAAATATTTTTTTTTATTTGTTTGTTCCCCGACAAAATATATCGTCTTCCTCGAAGGGGGGGGGGGGAGGTAAGCTTCCCCCACCAACGTCCGCCCCGAAATCGGAGTTGATTTAAAGTTTTGCTCTATCTAGGCCTAGGCCTATATAATGAAAATATTAGGCCTACGTAAAAACTCCAAAATCGGAGGGTTGATTAAAAGTTTTACAAACTCCAAGTCTGGAGTTTCGTGTATAGTATTCAAAACCTCCAAAATCGGAGGGTTGATTAAAAATTTTGAAACTCAGATTTCTGAGTTTTCGCGTAGGTATATACGCAAAACCTCCGAAATGGAGGGTTGATTGAAAGTTTTGCTCTCTCTATATAATGATAATAGTACGCAAAAACACAAAAAGTGGGTGGTTGATTAAAAGTTTTAAAAACCACTCCGGTTCTGTAGTTTTCGCGTATAGTAAGCAAAACCTCCGAAATCGTTGTTTTTGCTGCGGGCGCAGCAGGCACTTCGATTTCGGAGTAACTTCTTAAATCACTCCAAAAGACTTACGGTAGTTGCACAATATGTCCCACGATATGGTATTTTAAATGCAGCTTATCGTTACAAGCCACAGCAAAGGAAAATATTTATAAAAAAAATTATTCGGAAAATCGTCATTTTCTAGCCTGGATGATTCCCCCCCCCAAGAGACAGCCCCTGCTTTCTTCTTGAATAATGTTTATTATCTCATGACTCATGACAGTTGATGATTTCGGATCGTGAATGCGTTGAGGTCAGGATTTTGCAGATAAGAAAGCTAAAGCAAATAAACAAATGGATTAGACCAACTTTAGATTTAGGCCCTATTCATTTTCACAGCACAGGGAATAATGTATATTATAAGCCTCTTTTTTAATTCTAACTTTGTTTTATTTTATAGCTTATAAAGATTTTATACTGGGTCAGTTTTCCAAAAATATGACTTCCGAAGGTAAAGTGTTAATTTATGACATAGGCCCCTACAAGCTTTTGGGGGTTTTGAGGGGTGCTGAATACAAATCTCCTGTATATGCCAAGCTCAAAATGACCGGAAGGGCCTCCAACTCCAATATGGTCGCCAAATTTTGATATTTTCCATAATTTTACAATATCTCACATAGAATAATAGAATTGAGTCCGCTATTAGTGTCAGGGCCCGTGCATATAAGTGGCACCATCAAGAGTCAAATTCAGCCATTTACTAGTCGGATTTTTTTCACATTTTCCAATCCTAGATATTATTTTCTTAATTTATATAAAACAATTGTTACTAATCAATCCACCCGTTTACGAAAGAGGTTTTGTTGCTTGATTTTATAACCTTCCAGTGTATTCAGGACGCACTAAAATTACGTTTTCCTGATAATCAAAACACCTATTTCGACAACGGATGGCTCAATCGTAACAAAAACTAATATAAAAATAAGAATATAGACCTGATATCTAGTATCGGAAAATTAAAAAAAAAAAATACAAAGTGATATTTTTAAATGGTGACTCCCTCGCTGTGTATATTTCGCTTGTGATAGGCCTATGTCCTTGGCAAGACACTTTCCTACGGTTGTCAGCTCTCTCCACCCACCCTCCAAACATAAAATGCGCTGATTAAAGTTGGAACATTATGGAATTCTCCCCAGGGACACATATGTTCCATATGTGCCAGGGGAGAATTTAGTGGGGGAAGGGGTGGAGGAAACTTTTGGAAAATTAAAAAATGGAAAAAATGAATTAAAGAAAAAGAAATTATTGATCGCTCAAAACGCCTCAGAAATCATTCTTCAGTTTTAAACAAATGACTGCTGATTGACGAATAATTTTTGTATTTTAATTAATGTACCCATAACCTCAAATTAATCTGACAGAATTTTGCCAATATCGGAAAAAAAGTTTGGCAGAATGTGGCCGTGGAATGGCGTGTGTTTGGCGGCCGTGAAGGGCCTATCGACTTTCTGGTGGCAACAACAAGTACAAATATGTTGTTTTCTTCTGCTTACTGAGTTCATAGCGGGCGTACTTCTACTGCGCTGCACTTTGATGGTGTGGCAAACCCATGGTCATCAGTCAAAGAGCGGGAGTTCCCAATGGCTTCTTTGGTTACAGAAATATTAGCAAATTCAGGTAATGTTTATATTTTTCCTGTAGTTTAAAGATAACGTAGGCGTACATTAAAGTAATATGTGGGAATTTTCTCCATCGTTTGTCGTCATCAAGGTGGCTGATGTTTCATTGTTATTCTAGCATAGGGTAAGCCTAGGCCCTAGGCCTAGTGGTGGGTAGCCTAGGCTAGAGCATGCTCCTACTCTTGCCTAGGCCTACTACTAGCTAGGCTAGCCTAGGGCCAAGCAAGAGGCCTAGAGGTCTGAGTAGCCTAGGCCAGAGTAGGGGCCTAGGCCTATATATAAGAATAGTTCTAGGCCTAGTATAAGATGCCTACCCCTTTCGGTGTTTATAAAAATAACATGTTTACCAAAAGTTTCTGTATGTAGGTAATGAGTATGAATACCATGAGTATTTGCCCGCAGGTAAATTGTTTTTGTTATTCATATGATTTCGTAAAAATTAGGTTCATTGGAGAAAGATGACCTGGGAACTAGACTGCGTAAGCTCACCAGTAGTGTTGATGAGATTAAGTCTGAGGTTTACGATGCAGTGAAGAAGAAGTATGTTGAATTTCAGCCAAGCCTTGACACGGCACTTGAATTGGAAAACAAAGTGAACCAAGTGTCCAGTGAAGTGAATGCACTCAATGATCAAATCCAGGTATGGCAGATTAGAAACCCACTACATGTTGGCACTTCATGAGCATTTGTCCCAATATACCATTTTATAGGGTCTATTTTTCAACAGCGCCTCCAACGTCTCACTACTTTTTCACTAGGGGACGTCCAGCAGCCTAGCCTGAGAAAATTTCCGTTTTTTCCAGACAAATCTTTTCAGTGCGTTGAGAACCCAAAACATTGCAGGTTTTATACACCCATATTTTCCTCTTTTTTTTTCCCTTTTTTTTTTGGCATTTTGTTTTCAAAGACTATCCTAGGCCTCTACAACAACAAGGTTGTACACCAGTCAGAGAACACAATAAACACTGGTAACTAAATAGAGCAAAATACCTAGGCCTCTGGAATTCCCCTAGTTGTAGTTGCCAGGTTCTCGGAAATTTTCATTTCAAATTTAGCAAAAATGGTGTATACTGTAGATAAGGTATTGAAAAACCTTCCTGAGGCACAAATATTCAAATGTATTTGGTTTATGCTTTATGCTTAGTTTTTCCATTCTACGCTAAAGGTATATGATGCAACCTAATTTAGTAAACCTAAACCTATTGACCATTAATTTGCCTACTTTGTTTTGTGAGGTCATCTTCCTAGCTAATGACACAAAAAGATACACTTATCTAACAGTAGATTTAGTAACTGGTTTTGAGTATACTGCGCTTGTGCAGATGTACCCTATGCTGTGGTGGTCAAATTAATTTGTAAAATGGAATTTGTTAAAATTCTTCGGTAAAATGGAATGTGTTAATTTTCATCGTTCCAACTTATCGGGGAGTTCGGAATGGACCTGTCACCTACATTGTCCGATAAGGGACTATGTTTAGAGTAATTTTGACCTAGTTTCTGCGGTATACTCATGCTCCTATCAGAAGCTTATTTTTAATAGTTGCTTATTTTGTTTTTTCTTTTTTCATATTTTTTTCAATATTGTAACCAGAATGAAATAAAGATGGATCTGAATATGTCAACCAGTGATTTGCAAGATATAACTTTGAGCCATGCAAAAACCAAGGCAAAAATACAGGTGCTATCCACGTTGTGCAAGGTAAGATACTTTTTGTAATGTGGAAGCATGGTAATGTGTTTCAGAGTTAAAATTTCCCCTAAATTATCTTTTAATTTTTGCATCTTTGACATACTTATTTAGGAATACAATAAAAGAGTGGCAAATATAACAAATGCAGAAAAGTAAATACAAATAATATAAATTAATACGATATGGTTACGACTAACAACCTTTTAGAATCCCTTCAAGAACCAGGCTTCATTCATGGCATCTGTGTTACCAATCCAGGCTATATTAAATCTATTATTACTAACAATATCAATATTCACCATGCTTTATTAACCAATTTATGAATTTACTTGTTTATTTCTTTCTAGATTCATGATGGGTTACAGTTATTCAAGAGTTCATTGACCTCTCAAGATTATAAAGCTGCAGCTGATAATTTGGAATGTTTAGTAAGTATTAATTAAAAAATTTCTTTGTATGGCTGCACTTGTATGCATTTTTCAACTGGTATAAATGTGCCAAATATTATAAATTTGTCTACTTGAATGCTGGTGGCCACTTGTATACAGATGACAATTTCATGCATGTGTCAACATGTATACAGGTGAAACCTGTATAAAAGTCTGTCTACTTGTATACAGGTGGCAATTTTATACAGGTGACAACTTGTATGTGTCTTGTATGCATGTGTCAACTTATGCGTCTACTTTTATATAGACATGTGGTCATATGTGTACAGCGGTCACCTGTATGCTTGTATGCCCTGTTATTAATTGATATTTTGTAATTGATATTTTCATGTTTTCGATACTACAGTAATTGTTTACTAAACAACTGCAATTTTATGTTTCTTGCAGAAAAGTGACTTGTATAGTTTGATTGGAGAGAACCAGTGTGAGTTCGAAATTGTGAAGGCAATCAGGGTAGGCATATACTAGTTAATATTATTATTGTTGTTCTTGTTGTGGTCGCTGCTGCTGCCCCAGTTATCATGATAAATGTATACTAAAACGATTTTTGTAGTAAAACATAACATCTCAGTCAGAGTACACTGAGTTTTTTAATCTATGTGTTTAAGTACATGTTTTAATTTAATTTTTTTAAGGGTTAACCTATATTTCCCTGCAAAGAGTGTATCATAAAAGAATTATATGTTGTATTTTTCATTTATTTTGTGAGCATTGTAAATGTTTGCATTGTATGAATGATGTTATTAACTACAGTATGTACCTTGTTTTTAATGTGAGATATATCTACTGTACCAACAAACTTGATAATAAATGTACAGGGTTGTAGTTGTAAAGAACCTAAGGGCTAAATAATTGAGTGGATTTTTAAAATGGGCAAAGGGGTTAATAAATGTGGGTGGAGAGCCATGAAATTAGCTTTTGGTTTGGTGGAAATTTCAAGACTGGGTGGCCCCACCTACCTAACTACTGTACGTCACTGATATTTGTAAAATTTAATGAGGAATTTATAATGTCTTTCCAACAATGTAGATATTTGCCTTGCAAAAGGACACAAGCAGATTTACTGTACAACCAGGGACTTTTAACCCTGACCTCAAGGCTGTGAGTCCAAAACACAACTGTAAACTGCAGACCATAAACAATATTTAACTGACATTACAGAAACTTTGTTTTTTCTCATTCCTAGACGGAATTGACGGTGCATCAGGAAACTCTTCTTCACACTCTGGGAGAAAATTGGAAACAAGTTGTATCATGGAAATCGCCCAAGATGGAGCTTCAAATATGTAAGCATTTAGTCTCCAGCAACTCGCGGGGGTGTCCCGAAATGGGATTAGAAGACAAGCATCTTAACCACCACGCTTTTTGTTGGAACCATGGCCCTTAAAACATTAGAAATGCCTTGAGCAACATTGTTTCATTATGGGTGCTTGTCAAAAGTACTCTTTATTGTACAATAGAGCTTTTGATTGCATTTTCATTTAATAATTTTAATCATTGGTTTTAATAATATTCTTACCTTACTCTTAAGTGTACAATCTTAGTACATGTAGAGAGGTTACAAACGGGTATTTACAATATATGTACAGTACAAACCTGCTTTAAAATATACTAGTGTTTGAAATGTTATTCAAAATGTTTGGACCAAGTGTAAAATAGTCAGTTCGTTCATGGTTCATCTTAGTCTGTAAGATATATATGTATGTCTAAAAACAATTCTACGGGCAACAGAAACAGGAAACTGAGCATCATCAATGGTCCAATTTTCTCATTGATGATGCTCTGTTGCATGTTCCTGTTTCCTGTAGAACTGAGAAAATTGCTTAGCTCCATACAAATGTTTTTTTTAAAACTCTGATTACTCTGATTTTATCTCATTCCCGCGGATGTGGGATGAGATCCCTACTTCTGTTACAAGAATCCGGTATCAAAATAACACAACAACATTCACATAAACATGTATTTCAAAAAGAGCTCCTTGAAAAACCAAGCTCTCACCTTATATACATTAGCCCTAGAACTCCAGAGCATTCAAGAGCATTCTATATTGCCTACGTTCCTTATTGGTCACATTACTTCATAATAACCAATAGGCAATTGCTTCTATAGTACCCAAGATTCCAGAAACTTCCAAGTATTTCTTTTTTTTTAACTGTTTATTTGGTCATTAAATGTTATTCTAAAATGTTCTATGTATTAAATATGTTACAATAAGGAAAGGAAATAGTAATTTATTACACAATCATGCCTAAATATGGCCATGATAACATCACATCATGACCATATATAGGCCCATCATTACTATATATGGGCATACAACAATTTATTGTTAAAGAGAGCTTAATTTCTTTTTTTGATTTAGCTCATGATGACCTCCTGCAAGACATGGTAGTGGCAATGCATAAAGTTGGTATTCTGAATGGTAAAATACAGACGTTCGGTAAACACCTACTGGAGCATGTTTTCCTACCGATCGTTACCAACCCATCGGTACAGTGTGTAACTACTGGAAAATCAAAGGTATGTGTTGGTAATCTCCAAGTGTAAGATAATTTAATTATTAACTTAATTATTAATATTTGATTAATAGTGCCTAACATGCTTAAAATTCTTTTTGTGGTGGTTAATGCCAGGGCGCGCAACCTATGGCCATAATATTGACGCTGGTTTGGACGGCACTCTTGTCTATGGTTCTGGAGGTGGAACAAGGACTCTAAACCATAGGCCCAGTGTACGCAATTGGCTCATGTGCTCTTATATAGCCCAGTACATCTTTTGAGACAAGTAGAGGGACACCCCGGTGTACTGCTCCATACAGCCGCTGTTGTGGTCAGAAGAGAGTAGCTGGTACCGGTTTACCAGGTAGCTCAGACACGAAGAGACCCTAAAGTTTGGTTTTCATACAATCGCTACACGCTGTCACCAACAGTTTTCGGTGATGCTGATTGGTCGGTCGAATCAGGGAGCCTTTCCGATTGTGTCCGGACTGCTATGCAGTACAACTATTGCACTAAAAACACTGTAGCGACAGTGTAGCGACACTGTAGCGATTTTAAGGAATCCAGGCTTTCAGGAGAGAAGAGAGGTACTGCATTAGCTAGTTTACGAAATAGCGCTATATAGGTGCTGTAGTGTATGTAAGACCCTTCAAGCCAATTTCCACGATTTATATTGAATTTCAGACAACCAAAATAACATTTAAGAAAGTGAATTCAGATGATTCTTATGTTCAACCACAAAAAGTCTACCAAGAAATTCTGAAGGTGCTTAGGGGTCTTGAGGGGGCGCTGTTAGAAATAAAGATAACCATTGGAGAAGATGAACAAAGATCACTGATGTCTATATTAGGTGAGTATAACAGGTCAGTAAACTTTGGTGTTATTGTTAAATATCGTAATATTGAAGGATATGAGGTCACCTGTAGGGTTGAGAGAGCAGCTAGGTATAGTTGGCATTAGAGGGCTGAAAAGAAGGCTACATTGGCTTGGACATGTTACAGTGGTTGATTCAAGGGAGGTCCAGCAGGCCCAGTTCTCGTCTCGTCGTCGTCGTTGTCATCGTCGTTATTATTTAATATATTATTATTATTATTTATTATCATTATTATTATTTATTATTATTACTGTATTACTATTGTTTTGTTTTTAATTATTTAATATAATAATTTAATTTAACCACTTGATTGACAGGGATGTCAATATGGAAGGACCTGTCGGATCTGTTGATTAAGGAATGTCTTGTCAAATCTATTCCAACCACAAATGCCCAGGTAGGTAACAGCATCACCTTTTTACAATTTTTAATTAAATTAATTCTCATATAAATATTTGATGGTAATATTTTACTCTCCCATTAATGAATTGGTCTGCTGTTATTTGGGAAATTAATAATATAATAAAAACAGTTACATATACATGTTATATACCTTGCATTGTATCTTTTTCTTGATAGTTAACTGGATATAATTCGGTGATAACAGCAACAGAAGAGTTTGAGAAATCATTGGCTAAACTTGGTAAGACACTAATAACAGATTATTATAGTATCTTCCCAAAAGGGCTAAACTATGTACTGTACATGTATTAAAAATTTTATGATCTTTCAGTTTATTAACTTACTTATGTTTATTTATTTAAAATAAATGAATGAATTAGTGAATGAATGAATAAATAATGAATAATTATATATTTTTAGGGTTTGTCTCTGATGATGTTACACCTTTGTTGTCATATGCTAAAGATGTCAATATCCACTTTGCCAACAAGAAAGTAAGTGACAAAATATTATTCAATTTTTCCATGACTGTTACTTCCATGCTATACAAAAAAAAATCTGTATGTGATCACATCTATATCTGATCAAATCCGTATCTGATTAGATTTGTGTCCAATCAGATATGTATCTGATTAGATCTATGTCCAATCAGATCTGTGTTTGATCAGATCTATATCTGTATCTGATTAGATCTGTATCTGATCAGATCCGTATCTGATTAGATCTGTATCTTATCAGATCTGTATCTGATTAGATCTGAAAAAGGTCTAGGAGATGATATCTAAACAAAGTGAATGTATTGAAGGTACAATTGATCTATGTTTTTATGCTGTTTTTTAAGGCTCTATCAAATTTTCTGTGAATGTACAAGAATGATGTCATACTGCCTCCATTTATGGGCATGATAATGTCATATCATACCTATATATGGACAAAGGTATTTGTCATATCAAATTAAGTGTGAAAAAAAGCTTTACTGTACATTTTGTTTTCCAGTGTAGGGATATATTAGTTGAATCCCGCAATCTGATGAAACAAGATCTGCACAATACTGTCATAGTTGGAGTTGTTGAGGATGAATGCAATAATCAGGGGGGACAACAACACATATCTGGAAAGGATAAGGTAATGCCTACCTCTGGTGAGACAAAGCTTATGATTGGTACAAATGCTATTTGGTAGAGACTAATGAATTAATAGAGAGGAGCGATAGGTAAGGGAGAGATGATAGGTCAGTGGGTTAAAGAAGAAGAGAGATATAGATTGATGGAGGGAGTTTTCTCCTGGTGTTATTGTTAAACAAGATATCAGTTGAATTATAGAAATTTGGTCTGGGCCAATGGAGTCCCACAGCAGTGCCCCCATTGTGGTGAATTTAGCAGTACACCAGAGTGTCATGTATAACCCACACATCACCTCATGGGAGACCTAATGTAATAGAACCAGGAACACAATGGTCTCCATAGCTAAGCGCACACACAGTTGGCTACCACAGGTTTTGTTTCCCTCAATATAGATGAATGGAGAGAGAGAGAAATGATATATACATGAATGAATCACTATTTAATTATGTAATTTTTAATAAGTTCATTACACATTAGAATATTGAAATTTTGCTTTCAGAATTTGCATGGAGAAGAAATGAGGAAAAATTATGTATCACCAGGAACATTTCAATTTCCCCAATGCAGGATCTCCATAACAACGCAGCAGCTTGTGAACCTAGCTTACGAGACATTGTTTGAAGCAACTCAAAGCTCACAACAATGGTGAGGTTATATAAACTAAAATTCTAGAATGTTGTAATATTATATAACTGAAAGTAATATAATCAAAGGTTGCAATGTTATCCTAGCTTATGTTTTGCATCGTTGTGCAAATGCTGGAAAAAAAGGTTGCAAAGTTATCCTAGCTTATATTTTGCATTGTTGTGAAAATGATGAAAAACGGTGGATGACTCCTTATAAAGGGAGTTTATTGGTGAAGTGGTAAGGCAAGGCTGCCGCTAACTACAACCTCAACATCGGTGCTGGTTGGAACTCTGGGTTCGGTTGGTTGAACCAAGTCTTTAAAATGGAGGTCCAGTGTAAGCATTTGTGAACCCATTGCATCTTTCAGAATGGTAGGGTAGTCATGGAACACGCTTATACACAATTCAGCACAGTGACGCCGTGAGTTATGGGTTATACTCTAACTTTTACCCTTATTTTATGTTTTCTTTAGTGCGACTCAGCTTTTCCAAACCACACGTAGCATGTTCGAGTTGTACTGCGCAGTAATACCAACGTACCACAAAGACAGCTTAGCCAAGTTCCCACAGCTTTCAGCTCTACATCACAATAACTGTATGTACATAGCACACCACTTGCTGACCCTAGGCCACCAGTATAGGGATCAGCTACCACCGCCCCTCTGCCAAGGTTCAGCCACATTTGTTGACGAAATTCCACAATTCCGTCACCTAGCAACTGATTGCTTTATGGAACAAATGGTCAGTTTGGATTTTATTAATTTTTTTGGGTACAATTTGTAGATGCTTATTTCCATTCCATTTATACTGATTATCTTTATACTTTATTATATTAATTTTTGTATATTTTCTACATAAATCCGTAATTTTTAAGATTGGTGCAAGTAGTGCTTAGGTTTTTCAATCAATAGTTAGTGAGTTTGAGCAAGAGGCTGATGACACTAGGCAGGCCCTTATCAATGTGTGTCTCTTTTATTTTTATTATTGTTTATTATCATTATTATTATTAATCAAAATGATATGTATTATCATTTTGTTTTCAATCTGCAGCGTACACAAAGAAACCAAGTAATTGAATATCTGAATGGTGCTGGTAATATGGATCAAGTATCTAGCGGAGAGAACTACAAGACGACAGAAAGATCATTTAAACAGGTGACTATTGATATGTTTTATACTATTGTTTCCACATCAGTTGTGGGTTGCAGTATCGCCCATACCAGTTGGTAACGCACTCCTCCATGTGATTCTGTTGCAGTGTTCATATTTGCCATATTCCATTGCTTCCAACCGTCTCTCACTGTATACATCCATCTGTTATTTGGATGTCCTCTCCCACGATTTCCATAAACATTGGTCTTTGTATAGCAGTGTTAATTTAGCAACCAGCCCACAATAAAACCAGTAAAATTACTGTATATCATAAATATAGAGAACAATAGACCTAAGCTAAAGAATCACTTATAATCCATCAAATGCACTGCAGCATCAAAGTAAATACTGTATATGTATATTATATTAATAAAACTGGATTAAAATCTAATACAAAAAAAATCTAAGGCAGGAAATTTGTAAAAAAAAAAAAAAAAAAAAAAAAAACTCCACAGAAACTAGAAAAGACACTAAAAACTAGGAAACATTAATTGATACATTTTTTAATCTTCATTTTTCCCTTGATTTACAGCAGTTATCACTTTTTTCAGCACCAGTTCAAACTAAATTATATAAATATTTTTATTATGTTTTCCAGGTGCTGCATCAGTTGGTTCATTTGCATGCAGTGTGGTCACATGTCTTACCATCCAGTGTGTTTATCAAAGTAATGGGAACGCTTGTAAATACAGTATTCCAGCACATAGTTGATAAAATTGTTGCTTTAGAGGTGGGTTGAAACTTTATGATATGGTTTCTTGGGTGTAGAACGTACCAAGGATGGCCAACGAAAGTTCAAAGACTTGTTTCCAGTGGGGTCCTTGTGGACAATATCTTCATGACTAATGTGCACATGGCCATACATAGTACACATCTCTTTCAAAAGACATGGTGCTATATATTACAGTATTTGTAGCAGGGATGGGTATTAAAATTAAACCTGGGATCAATGTTGTATATTAATAATAATGATAGACATATATGGCACTTATTTTGTTAACCCTCTGGATACCGGATTCTTTTGTACTGCAAACCCTTGAATACCGGATTCTTTTGCAGTGTAACAAGGTTTTTTGCGTTTTTTGAGTATATGTCGCTCTGGTGGATTATTGGGAACTTTCTGTAAATTATACAGAAAAATGTTTCTAAAAACAAAGAAAGCTTATAGAATAAGCTTTCATTTGATGTATAATTTATATTTTGGGGAATTTTTTTTCATAATATAATATAATATATATATATATAATATAATAGAAATGACAGAAAAATGCTACATATAAATCGTCAGCAAAAACCGGGAAAAAAAATAAATTATAGCCAAAAACAATAAAAACAAATATAAAACATTCCTATTCCACACAGTTATATAAATTATTTACCCAACCATCCATAACTATAAGCGCGATCTTTCCATTCAAAAGCGTCGACTACCCTCACATTTCTAGACCTAGGCTCATCTTCATCAAGAACATCTCCGCCGTCAGAACTGCTTGAAGCTTTTAGGACACAAAGTGCTTTGCCCCCGATTATTGTATACATAATCAGTCATAATACAATGTGTAACCTCCACTCCTTGTGGAGTATTACTAGTCATGCATGTATTTCTTCAGGAATGCATTCCACAGCAGTCTTGCCAGGTACCATTTATACACCTGGGTAAAGAGGAACTAAGGGAGAAAAAATGACTCCGCACTGCTTTAGATAATGAGTGAAAATAAATTGCTGTTCCTCTGTTATTTTATTTTAAGCCAGAATGTTTTTATTTTTCAAGGACATTTCAACTGATGATGCAAATCAGTTACTCGCCTTGATGACAATGCTCTTAGAAAAAGTCCCGGAAACATTACAACCAGAAAATACACAGGTAAGATAAGAGTGGTAAATAATAATAGTAATAATAATAATGTGTTTACCTTCCAATTCCAGGGTTTTTTTTTCTCATGACTCAACACAATTTTACTTCCTAACCCCAAGTCTCATTAAGAGACTTGCTTTATACACAATTTTATCGGGTCTGTTTTCAAACAGTGCCACCAACTGCTGGTTTATATGTAATCAATTCCATCCTGTAATTACGGTAATAATTAAATCTATTATACATCCAAAAATTTAAAAGATGTCAAATGTGGTTGGGCTAAGTAGGTTCGAATAGAAGTAAAGTTAGTAAAGATGAGTTAAGGTATATTTTGTGTTAAAGCTTCTAGGTTAAAATCAATGGTTATAGTTATTAGGTTGCCTTTATTTGTTTACACATGAGATCATAGTTCAGGCATTGGTTATACCTTTTTGACTTGCCTATTTGTTTAAATAATTGTTTTTACAGGTGGTCGTAGTAGAAGCAATGGTTATACCTCACTGGGTTACCTACAAAGAACTCATGTTTATTCTTGAAGCAAGTCTTCAGAATATTGTCGACCGATGGGTTGATGGAAAGGTATTGTTATGTTATTTGTCAGTAAAGTAGACACCGTAGTAATATTGTATACAATTTGTTAGGTAAACCCTGGTTTCCCTAAAATTGCTACACTTTCGACACAGTGTTTTCACTGTACTGCAATTATTACACTGCGTAGCTGTCGCCAATGCAATAAGAAACTGAAAGCTACAACGTTTTTATGGAATCTAACTTTATTGTACACAGTTACTTATCACTCAAAGTGACAATATTGCATTATTGTGACCTTAATAACATTGCTCATTTTGTTTTTTTTATCCACAGGGTCCATTAGCAATGGTCTTCCAACCAAATGAAGTCAAAGGCTTGATAAGAGCTCTGTTTAAAAATACAGACAGGCGAGCCAATGCTTTAGCAAAGATCAGGCTTTGAAATATGACACCACCGAATAAGGTAGTATAGACATTAGATACAAGATTCTTTTATTGTCAAAGTAAAATTCATTTTCTTGATACTATTAACAAATAATTGATTGCATGTCATATGCTTCATGTACAAGACTTTCAGCTGCTCAGTGTGATACACATCATAGATTAGCGCCAATATTGATTGACGGCCAAGAACAGTCTTGATTAAAAGTGTCAATTTCAACTGGAATTCTGGTAAATACTGATGAATTGCGGAAATTGTGGATGTACGGAAAAGAGAAAATGCTATGGAAATATATCATATATCAGCTTTGACCCAGAAACTGTAGGACTACACATTTAAACATCCATGACAATGAGTTTTCCATTTGGACTACGGTAACTTCAACGCACTTATGGCTAGACTTGTTCCTGGACTACTCCGACTTGTCAGATTACTGATAAATTATTGTGAAACCCAAGAAAAAGTGACTGATATATCTTCGTCCAGTCCATTTTGTTTAGAATTTCCCTGCTATGCGTGAAATTTTGAGCAATACATATTTTGCACTCAGGAAAATCAGGTGCTACGTAAATTTTACATTTGCTAAGGGAATTTTTATACATATAATAACTGAAATGTATTTTACAAAGTTGAGAACACTGGAAAAATGTTGAAGTATTACTCATCCAATAATATGAAAGGGCACAGATTTTGTAAGAAGAGCAAAACAATGAACCCATATGGGACAACATGACATATAATACTATATCAAGAAAACTTGACTCATCATTCAAAGACGTCATACAGTTCTATATTTGAGTTACAGCAGCATTTTACAAAGGTCAGAATCTTTATATCCCTATTCTATGAACCTTGCAAACAGACTTTTGAACAGATAGCAGTTAATTGCTTTGTTTATATCTAGAAACATTACATTTATGCAGTTTGCACTAAAAAAGGGGTTTACAGTGGAAAAGCTTGCCTTTGAGGGCTCCAGGTTTTAAAGCCATATGTGTGTATTACAACAGTGTGCTAAAAATGTACTACATACTGTAATACATTTTAAATTTTATTTTAAGGGATCATCTTCAAGCTCCATTTTATCACATCTTTACACAATGGATGCTATAGATTAATGAATTTTATAGTTTATTATATAGTATAATAATATATCGTTATATTATTATTACTGTAACTGTGTATTACCTTAACATGTTGATATTCTACTCAAGACATTCATTAATACAATTTCATTGTAAGATATGTGGAGAGAAATAAACAAATAACAATTATGAAATATAATTGAATTTGTTTTAATTTGTTTGGTATATTCATCAGGGCTCGATTTAGTACTAGCCCGGCGTACAATGTCTAGTAAAAACCGCTCCGGGCTACCCTATTTACTCCTCATGTTGCCCGGTTGTCTACTGGAGAATTAGCAAGAAAAACAAAAACAAAAAAAAGCGGAACTTTCGAGACAATCCCTGCACAGGAGGTACCGCAGCCCAGAGAGTACACTCTAGCTAGCTTTCAGCTCCCCACATGCGTGAGTGTTTAATTATTAAGATGATCCCCAAGTCATTCACCAACCACTTCAGGGTGGCATGTTATCTTTCTCTCAATAGAAGATCGTTTGATCGTTCAATCTGGTTAATTTAGGTAGTTAGAACATTTAAATTAATGTACTACCTTATTCATATTATTTTCTCATAATGATATTTTTAAAATGTCCAACTTTTAATAAAAAGTACTTCAATGCTATAGGTAGGCTAGGTTATATAGTATAATAATATATCGTTATATTATTATTACTGTAACTGTGTATTACCTTAACATGTTGATATTCTACTCAAAACATTCATTAATACAATTTCATTGTAAGATATGTGGAGAGAAATAAACAAATAACAATTATGAAATATAATTGAATTTGTTTTAATTTGTTTGGTATCTTCATCTTAGTAGTAAAAATAGGATATTGAAAATAGAGGAAATGTTAAAAGGATCTGTTAGCTAGCCCTCTTATTGGTCAATCCATTACTGACCATCACTTCACTTCACAACAGATTGTCGATGTCCACAAAGAAAGCCAATTGTCTTCAGTTTCTTCCCCCTCCCTCTTGCTTCATACACATAACATCAACTTTTTTTTAATTCTTTTTCTTTCTTATCATCAGTGTAAATAAACAGAATATCCTCATCAGTTCCATATGCTTTTCTTGCTTTGTCGAAATTATCAAATTTAGTTTGAAACAAACCTAAAAATAAACCAAATACAGAACATATCTTTATTAATATTTATTTACAAATGACAATTTAATAGATATATGCAAATTGTTGCTCACATCAAGAATAAAATAAAAGTACATTGTCTTAGTTCATGAAAACAAAAAAAGTATGTTTAAAACATGCGCTGTTGTTGCTGTTGTTGTTGATTTTTGTGAGGTAAAGAACACAAAATTGCTTGACAACGAATATGCGCTAATTTTGCTTTTTTGTTTTCACAAACTAACGCAATTTACTTTCATTGTGTTAGTTTGTGATATAAGCGATGAAATATTCTAAACTATCAAATGTTCGCGCACGATTAGAAAATGTCAAAGAATCGTAGGATATTATCAAATATTGATGAACGTACCTGTAAAAGATGGATCCCTATATATTATGCGTTTCTCAATTTTGTCATACCCACACACAACTATAAAATGACCTACAAGAAGATGCAAAGAAAAAGTTTGCTTAATATTAATTAACACTTCCTTGGAATTAGTGCATGGTTTGCTTAACGACTTGTATGGATTGCCCTAATATGTTATATATTGCACCGCAATAACTAGGCTTGTGTTTTTACACCTAGTACTACACCTAGTTGAAAACAGTCAGGTAAATTTTTCTTATTCTTATTACAATAAATAGGCCTTATGTGTGTATACATACATAAAAAAATTGAGTAATTGCATACGTATTCTTATTACATGAATTGATAAATCCCCAAAAGAATAGGGGGTCCAGGGGTCCTCCCTCGCAAAAATTTTGATTCCTGAATGAGGTGTCCCGAATTCTGAGGTGTCTTTTAATGATTTAATTTAATCAAAATTCAATGTTTTCCCCTATTGAATACGATTCTATGAATCGATAAACCCTTAAGAAAAAGGGGTCCAGGTTTCCCCGGGGAAATTTCAATTCCTATAATATGCTTAATTTCTAATTGCTTAATATGTTTCAACTGTAAGAGGGTGTGGCTAAAATAAAATACGACCTCCAATTAAAGACCACTTTTCTGTGGTCCCAAATCAACAAATGTCTTTTATCTTTATTGTTCTAATTAGACACTAAAACTGCTAAAGACCATCAAAAGCTTGGTCCCGAAAGTATTTTTAATTTGAGGGAGACCTGTATTAATATAATGGACAGATTCTTTTTGGATGATCAATTGGTAGAGAAATTCAGATATTCAAGGTAAAAGTAGTTTCTGTAAAAAAAAAAAAAAAATCTTGTGTAGATGTGGGTTTGATTCAAGAAACTATGAATAACATACAGGTAATACTGTATAAAAAATATGACCAGGTAAAAAAATGTAAAATATACTGTAATTTTAGTCATAAAAACACCTAATAAATAAAACTTAAAACTATAAAAAATACCAACCAAGATATCCATGGGCTTTTGTGTCTGATTTTGAATCAGTAGAATTTGTGGATAACTCAACCTACAGTAATGGAAAAAATATTAATTAAATTTCAACCATGGCATCTGAATACATCACACAACCATTCATTCAGTGAGCTAATCAATATTCATGAAAAATACTTTCAACCAATCACAGTGCTTATTCTGTAGCATCTAAAGATGGCAGCATCAATGAAAACCATGATCACATGATTATGATTTACTGCATGTTACTGCTGTAAGCCAATCAGAATTCATGAAAAATATTTTAAACCAATCACAGAGCTTACCTCCTGGCATTTCAAGATGAAAGCATCAACCAAAATTATGATCACATGACCAGCTTTGATGTGTTTTAGTATCTCGGCAACTTCAACAGATCTGTGTATTTAAATTAATATAATCACAACATTTTTTTTTTATTGTCTGTGGTCCATGGTTATCTGAGCAATACTTAAATTGAGTTTATTAATATTAATTTATTTTTTAATAAACACAACATGTTGTATTTGCTCACCTTTTTTCTATATAAATGCCTTTGCTAGCAGCTTGGTCAAACAAAGTGTTTATTCGTTTTTCTTCACTTGTAAACGATCGCTGGTAGAAACTCTACAAATAAAAAGGAACTGAGCACTGCACTTACTAGAGGCTTCTGATTTCATTTTTTTGTATATTTGCATATACAGTACTTGCTTTTAGCTTTCAAATGAAAAATAAAAAGACAGGTAATGTTTTCATTATCACTATTATTGTGAGTGTGTACACCTGATCTTGCATCTATATCACCATACGTAGTGCCACATTTAACATGTGATACAGTGGCATAACGATGGGGCTGGGGGCCCTGTGGCTTTCTGAGAGTGGGGCTTTTTGGGTCCTGGTCACCAAATTCCATTGTGGGATTTAGGTGTGCTCATTTTTTAATTATGTTTGTCATTGCATTCTAAATGTTTTTAACAACGAAATAAATTATATATTAGTGGCGAATCCAGGAATGATTAATAGGGAGAGACTTTCACTGATAAAGGGTCAATACCACCTCAGCCCGACCATTGTTGGGGCCGAGATGAGAAAATTTATGATTACGACACCTATAATTGGACGGAAATGGCACTCAGAGACTTATAATTTAAAAATTTAGGGGCCCCCTTTAATTCCCACTGGATATAATATGATATACAGTCGATGTTAGAGACAAATTATGGTTTGGGGCCTCGTCGGGGCCCTGCGGACCGCTGCACAAGAGTGATACACTTACTTCATTTTCATATGTGGGGTTAACACCTAATGTTTGTGTACACATTAAGTGTTTGATTTCATACTTGCTGAATATACTGGCAATGTCTATAGTCCAGATGCTAGGAAATTAAAGCAAAATTTAAAGATGTTATTTGTATTTGCTAGGACATACAAGGGAGAATTGGTGCGGCTATAATATTGGAATCTCCGTTTAAAAAAAAAACTATCTTTAGTTATGGAGAGACATATAGCATTGGCCCCTTTACCTCTTAAATTGTTAAACATTCTAAAATATAAAAGTACATAGTAAAATGTGAACACACCTATTATGAAGGCCAAGTTGTTTGCAGATGTATTCAAACTTGTCTTCTTCGAAATCACCAGAGTTCAAATATCTAAATAAGACAATTGGGTTTTTCAATGAAAATACAAAAAAATAAATTACTTTTATATTCTTTTAATCATTATAGCTTTGATTTTTAGCACTGGAATTTGTTGATACATACCAGCATATTGTTGTGCCATGGCATTGACTGTATGACCAGTGGTGGATTCAAGGGGGCACTACTAGCCTGCCTTCCCCTATCTTCCCCCCCCCCCATCACCCAAATTTTTCAAAAATAAAAAATAATGAAGGGAAAAAAAAGAATATTGTATTCAAATTTAAGTCGGGGAGTACAATTTTCGGCCATCTAGAGGAACCACAATCCTATAATTTCTTACCTCAGCCCCAACCATGGTGGGGCTGAGGTGGCTAGACCCTCAATCTCTAAATGTCCTTCACTGGGCTACTTCTATGGTATTACAAAATTCTAGATCTACCACCGAGGATGTTGTTAAAAACATTTAGAATACAATACAAGGACAAACATGAACACAAGATAAAAAAAAAGAGCATATAAAAAAATCTCACAATGGAAATGGCATCCGGGACCTAGAAAGGGCCCCCAGCCTCAGAAAGCCACAGGGTCCCCGGTGGAAGCGTTACGCCACTGTCCATCTGCTGATGTCAGTGGCAGTCAATAAAAAATATGCATTGCGTGTGCATCATGGCTGACCACCGATAAGCGCAGTGATTGCCAGGCTTAACGCATCATATAATTGATTTTCTGCTACTGGTTGCCACTTTCATTATCAAGTCGTTATAATCGGTTCGAACAACCGCAGTAGAGCGCATAATGCGTTACGCCACTGCAGATGGAGTTGAAGTTGTCGCAGTGAGTGACTGGGGTAAGCATATACCATTCTATTTCATCTACATCTATCACATCTCAAATGTTCTATCTATGATCTTTTCTCTTTTTTTTCTTTCTATGATGCTGGCTCCAAACCTTTTGGACCATCTGCCTTGAATCATCATCCTGACTTCAGCTACTGCATAGCATTGCCAGTTGTGTCTGACACTCTTAAGTCCATTATTTGTGCACAAACTACAGTACTGTAAACTACTTTATTACATACTTGAAATTATTTACTTGTATTTTACTTGACTTATTTTGTTGTTTCTTTTTTCAATGATATTTATATCAACTTACTGCAAAACCATTTTTGTACTTGCAATCCCACAATCCCAATTGCCTTCTTGCAAGATAAGTGGTACGTCATGGACGATATAATCTATTAAACGATATGGAGGTGAATACAAAACTTTAAAATACTTCTACATTTAAAGCAACAAGCAATTCCACTCTCTGATTTATGATAGCAGTGGCAGAACCAGCTGGGGACTGGCGAAATAGTTGCTCGCCCCTGCTCCTTCTGGCAGCGGCCAAACTTTACTAAAAGTGAAAAATCTTTAAAATGACTAAAACTTGAAGATTCCCGGGGTATAATTTCCTAGACCCCACAATATTTAAGAGAACAGGCCCCACCCAAACAATTCTTCCTCTCCGTCCGACCATAGTTCCACCCCTCAGTTTCAGGCTACATGCAGGTCCTCGATTGTCATTCGTGCAACCTACTGCTGAGTAGAATGTCTTGGAAAACGATAGGCTTAATAGTAAATACGTTTATAAAACCACGTTCATATAATTTGGGCACTGTTGTTTAGGTACTGATCACTTCCTCCGTTTGTTGAGTATATCTCGTCAGCCGGGCAGCGGCAGGGAAGAGCCATGCGATCAGTCAGTAGGGCCTAGGCCTAGAGGGTTACACGGCGAGTCCACCAGTTTAGGAATGCAGTACCACGCTTGACATTTTTAAATGTTATGCATTCATAAACTTATTGAAAAATTGGTGACAATAGTTGAATAACATAAACAACATTACCATCTTCAATTTCTTTATTCGAAGCACTGAATGCCATGTTTACTATTTACATTAGGTTGCCACAATATCATGACAAATTTAGCCCATGTATTGCCAAGGAGGTATGGTATTGCATAGTTGAGGCCAATAATGTTCATCCACGTCCAGACATGTTAATAATGTTTGTTAATTACATAGACTATTAATGAATCTATTAATTGCTCGAGTTCATTTTTTTAAATCAAAAGAGTCCACTTTCCATCTGTTGATTTATATCTAGTTTTCGGATGATGTGCATTATTTCGTTGCCTTTTTGACAGACATTTCCAAGTGCATTATCTGAATTTGCTGATTCACTGTTTACGGCATGCAGAAGCTGTAAAAGAGAAACCATTCGTTTATTCATTTTAATGTAGTTAAACAAATACACAACATAGGCCCTATAGAAGAAATGGATGGAAAAAGTAAGGGTATAAAATGAAAATAAAAATGACTGTAAATAACCCTTAACTAGGTAGGATTAACGATCCTCACTTGCTAATAAAGTATTTTATATTGATTTGATCTGATTAGTAAGATTCCAATACATGACTCGAAATTACTCGATGATTAATTGATTAAAAAAGTGTTGGCCTAGCATTAATTAGACCATGGAGGAATTTGAATACAGTATGTTCCTCCGCAAATGTGACTTTCCAAAATCTACAGATGATAGACATTTTTTGTTCTTAAACATGGACCCAGTTTTGCTTGAAGTTTCATGATCAAGCTTGGGGAGTGGAGTGTTAAAATAAATTCCTGTGGAAAGAATTGAACCCAGGCGCCGGGGACAGGAATTTGGAACTGGCAAAAATAAACAACTCAACTCCACGGAATATGAGAGCTGAGAATGATAATATTTCACATGCCCATTGAATCTTAGGCGCGAAATTATTTGCCAGTATAACAGAAACACTGTACCATGAGCTAGACTTTTAAAATTTTTAATATGGCCAAAATGCTATTCGCCACTTTAGGTGTAGCCAAGTCAGATACACACGTGCCATGGACGTACAGGCGGGCGTACAAGATTTTTTAGCTCCGACATTATTAGCTTTAAGATTTAATACCTCTAGAAATTCTTCGAAGTCAATACTGTTAGATTTATCGATGTCGATCTCGTCAAAGTATGCTCGCTTGGTCTCTAAAGATGACGTGTCACCAAGATCCTGCAAGGCTATTACTCTATGTAAAAAAAAAACACCAAAAAAACAAAGAAGTTTTCACTTTCACTTTATACTTCATTTGTATATGCATAGGCCTATATTTATATGCATATATAGGCTCATGCCAGAAATGAAGTACAGGTATGGACCGTAGAACAAGCCATTTTTGCTGACCGTGTTCTGATTGGTCAATTGTTAAGTTTGATTGACACTCTGGGTTCATTACAATTACTATACACTAAACTTCAGTCAACAGTTCCCGAAAAACTCGGGAACGATTTATGAGCCCGTTCATGAGATACAGATTTTTTAGTATTTCAAAACTGAGGGGAAAAGGGTACTGGTTACGCCCATTTTACCCCAATTTTTAAATATTTAAAAATATGTATCTCATGAACCGTTACCAAGTTTTTCGTCGAACACCTTTTCTTTTGTCTTAGAAAAATCAGTCGTAGGCTTAACCAAATAATATATCTATATTCTTTGGCTTATTCTTATCAAAAAAATGTTTTTGCTCTGGAGCCTGGCTTAAAGTAATTTTTATCAATCATTAAACTCCAGATATTTAGATCAATTA